GGGAAATGGGGCTATGACTTGTCAAGGCTCTCACGGGAGCAGGGGGATAACCAGTCCTAGGACTTTCTGCTCAAATGTCCCTGGATTGGGGCCAGGCTGATGCTGAGATGAATCAGACACAGTCTGCCCTCAAGGGGCTCAGAGGCTGGGAAGAGGGGAGTCATGACGGGAACAGAGAAGTATAAGTGTGGTAAACGCAGCAAGCACCCTCTGGGTGCAGAAAATGGACCACTAGCCCAGCCAGGAGGTGAGGAAGGCCTCCAGGAAGAAATGATGCTGGAGGCTGATTTTCAAAGAGTGAGTAGAAGTTACACCAAAGAAGGCGGGGACAGCAGGGAAAGGCATCCCAGGCAGAGGGAACAACATGAGCAAAAGCACAGAGTAAACTGGTGGGTACGTGTGAGCCACAGCAGTTCAGCACTAAGTAGGTAGGTCAGCAGGGCCAGGTTTTCTGGGGCCTCATGTGCCGCCTCAGATGGTTAGACTTGGCAGTGTGGGGAAGAGTTAAGAGCCAGGTTCTAATCCTGCCTTCTTTGCAACCACCTATCCTATGGTCATTCAACTCATTGAGCAGCAGTGTGACCTTGGGCAGATCTCTTCCTCTGGCATAGCCTCCCACAAACACACTCTGCCCTGGGCTGCCTGGTCCCCCTGAGGTTATCTAGCATCAATTTCAGGATGGACCAGAGGATGTCTATTTCTGCCGCAGCATCACTTGTCCACATCGGCCCTGGCTGGCCTGACGGGGACTTCCTGTTACAGGAAAAAAGCAACCCCCTCTCTGTTAGTGGGATTTTCTGTTACTTGTTCTCAAATGCTCCCCTGATTCAAGCTCGTTTTGTTGTTCAGTCACTAAGTTGTGTCTGACTCTTTGGGACCCCTTGAACTGCAGCATGCCAGGCTTCCCTGTCCTTCACCATCTTCCGGAGCTTGCTCAAACTCACGTCCGTTGAGTTGGTGATGCCATCCAACCATCTCATCCTCTGTTTCCTCTTTTTCTCCTGCCTTCAACCTTTCCCAGCATCAGAGTCTTTTCTAATAAGTCATTTCTTCATATCAGGTGCCCAACATATTGGAGCTTCAGCTTCAGCATCAATCCTTCCAATGAATATTCAGGGTTGATTTCCTTCAGGATTGACTGATTTGATCTCCTTGCTGGCCAAGGGACTCTTCAGCACCACTTTTTTGATGTTCAAAAGCATCAATTTTTCGGTACTAAGTTTTCCTTATGGTCCAAGTCTCACATCCATACATGACTACTGGAAAAACCATAGCTTTGACTATACAGACCACTGTTGGCAAAATGATGTCTCTGCTTTTTGATGCCTCAGACTGAAGAATAGAGAATATAAAATACACTCCAAGAACTTACACATCCACATAAACATTTTTCCAGAAAAATGAGACTTTTTCTTAAATGCAGGATATACTCTTTGTCTTTATTTCAAATAACTTTAAAACTTGAAAGTACTTAGTGTAGAAATTTGGAACGACAATAAAAGACAAGGTATTAAAAAATTTTTAATAACTCAAAATCCCACCAGCCAGAAATAAATAAGGCTAGAATTTTGGGGTGTTTTCTTTCCACTTTTTCCTTATATGTCTTTAAATGAAGATGAGCTCATAGCATTTAGTTTTTCCTTTCTTCTTTTTACTGATGTAATATACATGCACATATTGTTTGATATCCTGATTTTATATTACACCAAAAGCGTTTCCTATGTTATTACAATTTTTTGCTAAGCATCATATTTACTGGCTGCATCATATTCTGTCATAGGAAGTGCTACGATTTGTTTCAAGAAGCCCCAAGGGACTGCTGAACACTTGAGTTGGTGGCCAGTTGCAATAGACATCTGTGGGTAAGAGTCCTAATTTATGCTTAGTTTGTTTTAACAAAATGTCCTCGAAATGCAGCCTCCCCCTTGTCCCGAGGTATTCAGCAGTGACAGCCAAAGCAGCATCCACAGGTCCGGGGATCAGCCACCTGGCAGTACCCTCAGCTGGCCTGTGGTTACATGGTGGCTCTGGGTCCTCCCTTAGCGCATGCGTGCATGCTCAGTCGTGTCCGACTCTGCGACCCTATAACTGTAGCCCGCCAGGCTCCTCTGTCCATGGGATTCTCCAGGCAAGAGAGTGAGTTGCCATGCCATCCTCCAGGGGATCTTCCCAAACTAGGGATTGAACCCATGTCTCTTGCATCTCCTGCATTGACAGGTGGGTTCTTTACCACAGCCCCTCTTAACAAATGTTTAGATTTTTTCAACTGTTTCCCTTTCTTCCTCTATGCATATTTCTTCTCCTTTTTTAATATTTATTTATGTGACTGCACCGGGTCTTAGTTGTGGCATGCGGGATCTTTGATCTTCATTGTAGCATGTGGGATCTTTAGTTGTGGCATATGGGATCTAGTTCCTTGACCAGGGATTGAACCTGGGCCCCCCTGCATTGGGAGCACAGAGTCTTAGCCACCGGGCCGCTAGGGAATTCCTGCCCCTGCATGTTTCTAATGATCTTCTCTTATTCTGCTCTGATCTAGGAAATCAAAGCACTAAGGTATCACAATTGCACCAAAAAGGAGAAGAAATAGACACTGAGTGGGCCCATGAAGGGCTCCACAAGGAGAAGTGCCTGATGGTTGTGGGAGGACTCCAGCAAGACCCCTTTAGCCTCAGTCTCCTGAGAGAAAGACAGGTGCTCCACCTCCCTCGTGGGAGCCAGGCCCCACAGAGGTCCAGAGCCCAGGACTGGACCAGTCTCCCTGCATTGCAGAGACAAGGCCTGAGGTCTAGGATAGGGGGTGAGGGGGTACAGCAGTACTGAATGGACCGCTGCACAGAAGGGGCATGCTGGCCTGCCCACAGCCACCACCTCTCCCGCTCTTCAGATACCGCATGCCCCGCTCACACCCATGGGACCCCTGGAGCCTCTCCACACATCTCCAGCAGTGGCTGGGACCACGGGTCAGTCACAGCCCTGGGCACCAGGGCAGTCTGGATCACCCCTTCTCAGTTGGGAGGCCTGGGCATCGTCCTACTGGTGACTGCCATCAGTGTCAGGAGGGAAGGGCACCGCAGCACCCCAGCCTTCACTTGGCATCCTCTCGTCCTCCTGGTCTCCCAGCAGACATCGGAGCCCCCTTGTGGGAAGGCTAGGTGTGAGTCTTCAGGGTGAGCTGTTGACTGGGGCTCTCATTCCTCCAGGAAGACCCACCAAGGCATTTTCCTACCCCCAGCCCTCCGCAACCGCCACCCCAAAGTCAAGGGCAGCAAGCCTCCAAAAACTGCTGGTGGAAGGTCAGCTGCTTCCTAAAGTGGAGAAATCTCCATCCAGGGGCCTCGATGTCCAAGTCTAAAAGGATGCCGTGCTCCTATGGGATCTCCGCTCCCAGAAGGGCCTGTCCACCCGCAGGGCTGGGTCCCCCGCCAGTGTGGACCAGGTCACCTGGGAACCTGGACTGACTAACACCAAAGAATGTCCAGGTGTCACCCCCAGACCGCTGGGAGCAAATCAGTGCTGCAGACAGCATCCTTCCCCAGCTTCTCACCCTAACTGCCTCTGCCCCACGCCCGGGCTTCCCAGCACCTCTGTCCTCCTTCCAGCTCCCAAAGCTCCCCTGCCCCTCCAAGCCCTGCCTCCCCCTACTGCTGAGTGCCTTTTTCTCTCTCAACGTTTTTTTTGTATGTCACCGGATTTTCCTTTTGCAGTATAATTGCTTTGCAGTGTTATGTAAGTTTCTGCTGCATAACAAAGTGAATCAGCTCTATGTATACATACATCCCCTCCCTCTTGAGCGTCCCTCCCACACCAAGCTGAGGTCTCTGTGCTAGTCAGCCAGTTCTCTCAGCTTTGGTGGTGGTTTAGTCGCTCAGTCGTGTCCAACTCTTGCGGCCCCATGGACTGTAGCCCTCCAGGCTCCTCTGTCCATGGGGTGTCCCAGGCAAGCATATTGGGGTCGGTTGCCATTTCCTTCTCCAGGGGATCTTCCCAACCCCGGAATCGAACCTAGGTCTCCTGCATTGCAGGCAGATTCTTTACCGACTGAGCCACCAAGGAAGCCTGCTTTATTAACATGTAATTCATGTACTGTATAATTCACATATTTAAAGTACACAATTCAATGTTTTTTAGTGTATTTATAGAGTTGTACAACCATCATCAGCACAGTCATTTCAGAACATTTTCATCACCCCCCAGAAATAAACCCTGTATCCTTCAGCCATCATTTTTCAATTCCCTAGCCCTAGGTAACCATAGTCTACTTTCTGTCTCTACAGATGTACATGCTCTGGACATTCTAGACTGAATTCTTGCCTGCTCCCCCTCTATAAAACAGGGCTGGTGATGGTTCCTCCTCACGGGGTTTGGTGAGAGAATTTAAATAACACCTGGACTTAGGATCATGTCTGGTGTAGAGTAAACGCTATATTAAGTCTACTGTCGACATCATCTCCAGGGCCTGGGCTCCTCCGCCCCCCACATGCCTTCCACTTGCCCTATAAGCTCATTTCACCCTCATCCAGACCCCCAGCCTAGACACCAGACTTCCCTGGCATCCCCACCCAGACACCCCGACAGCCTCTCAGACTGAGAGTTTCTTGCCTCCCCAAGCCTGCCTGGCCTTCCCATACTGTGTCCCAAACTCAGGAAATGGAATGACTGTCCACCTGACCATCCAGACCAGACACGAGGGGCCCCCTCCCCCATGCCTGCCCCCCGACCCCCGCCACCTGGTCCATCAGTCTGACATCCCCACTCTCCCTCCCCTGGTGGTCACCCTGACCTTCCTCCATCACCAGTTTAGTGGTCACGAGCTTGGCTCTGATGTCCAATGCTAGGCTTTGGTGTCCAATGCAGCTCTGTCTATCACTCACTGGCCGAGGAGCCCCAGGCAAGTCACCTCGCCTGCTGAGCATCAGATTCCTGGACAATAAAATTGTTGTTGTTCAGTTGCCAAGCTGTGTCTCACTCTTTGCGACCCTGTAGACTGCAGCACGCCAGGCCTCTGTGTCCCTCGGTAGATGATAAAATAAAAATGTCCTATAAAAGAATGCTTTCGTCATTCGCTTGTCTTGAGGACTATATGAATAAAATACATGAAGAGCTTAAGTCCTTGATAAGCATTATTGTTGCTGTTACTATTACTCTCTGACCCCACTGCTCCTGACCCCTGTCCCCACCTGCATCTTGCCCGCAGCACCTCCTGTGCTGGTCATGGCAGGCTGACCACGTGCCGGACACTGAGGAAGCCCTTGCACGCGCTGCTTTCTTTAACCATCACGACATTCCCAGGAGACAGATGCTGTTACCCTCATTTTACAAATAAGGAAACTGAGGCCCAAGGTCCCAAAGCTGGAGTCAACCACTGCCTCCAGTGGTAATCATGTTGGTAATCATGTATAGATGGAAAACATTTATCGAGACCCTACTGTGGGCCAGTTACTGAGCTGAGTCCTTGCTAAGCCACTTCAGTCGTGTCTGACTTTTACTACCCCATGGACTGTAGCCCTCCAGGCTCCTCTGTCCATGGGATTCTCCAGACAAGAATACTGGGGCGGGTTGCCATGCCCTCCTCCAGGGGATCTTCCCAACCCAGGGATCAAACCTGCGTCTCTTACGTCTCCTACATTGGCAGATGGGTTCTTTACCACTAACACCACCTGGGAAGCTCATTACTGAGCTGGATGCTGGGAAAACAGTAATAAACCCAGCATAGACCCAGCCCATGAGATCTTCCTAGAACACAAATTGGACCCCTCTAAAATCCTTCCGTGACCACCCCACTGCCCTCAGGATGCAGTCCTTGTACCTTATCAGGGCACCTGGGTCTTCAGGAGCACTTCCTGCCTGCCCTCTGCAGCCCACACTGCCCCTCCCTTCTATCTAGCTCTCCCACTGTTCCTGCCCCCACCCTGATCCAGTGCACTGGCCTAGTGGGGCCTCCCCACCCTGACACCCACCACTCACCTTCTTCCCAGACTCACCCCCAACACCAGCTCCTTTCCCACCTTCTCCCTCAATTTCGTTGCCTGGTGAACTTTTATTCATCTGTTGAGACTCCATGCACGGTCACTTTCTCCAGGAAGCCTTCCGTCACCAACCTTCCAGCCTGGTGATGAGTTCCCAGGCCGGCTGTCTCCAGCATGCTGGCTCTTTACTGATTTGTCTCTCCTCCTGGATTGTGGTTTCTGGAGGGCAAACCTGGGGGCCTCCGTCATAACCCCATCCATCACCAAGTCAACTGATTTTACCAGTCTCACCATGACCCAGAGGCCCCAGCCCAGCCCCGAGGTTACGTCTGAGGGCGCGCTGCTGGCACCGTACGCATGCTCCATGCGGAGTCACTTTGCTCTGTTTCATGTCACTATAAATGCTGGGACAGCGTGAAATGGAAGAATTGTTGAATGGAGCATCTGAGCACAATCTCCCCAGGGTTTTGGCTTCTGTGATTCCAGACAAGAGGACCAGGGCTGCCGGGATCCCCCTCAAGCCTCCAGGCCTCTCAAGGGGTGGGTGGGTTGCAGCCCTGGAGAGAGATGACCAGGGCTAGAATCACCTGGGTGAGCCCCAAGTCCTGACTGGGCAACCTCTCTGTGTCTCAGTTTCCTCATCGGAAAAATAGCGACTTCAGCTCATCCCAGCCTGCCTTGCGGAGCTGTCAGGAGGAGACAGAGACTGTGTTCCCTGAGGGCAGGCTCTCCAGTACTGACTGGCTTCCTGACACTCACATCTCAGACACATTCTGTTTCATTAAAAAAAAAAAAAAATCCAGGAAACTTGGTTCTAGGCATTCTCTGGAGGCCCACACCCATCTCAATACTTCCCGACATGAGGGCTCTTTCTCAAGGAGGTTTTGGGAAGGGGGCACATAGCTGGGTCCATCTGAGCACCTGGTTGGGACACTCACCTGTGGAGCCTCAGTCTCCACCTCCGAAAGATGGGCCGTCACTCCCATCCCGAGGTTGCTGTGCTGATGAAGTGGGATGGTCCATGAGAAGGCGACTTGTCTCAGCGCAGGAAGGTGGCCTGGGGTGGAGGGCGGAGGGTCCCCTTCTCTGGGGACCGGACGTGCACCACAGGATATTACATCGCACCCCAGCCACCCCACATCCTGCCCCCGGCGGCCTCCCCGAAGCCGCATGGCCGCCCACAATATGGCCGCCATGGCCACCAGGCCCCGCGCCCGCTCTCAGGGCGCCAGGGGACGGAGGGCACCATGGCCAGGCCACGGTCACTCCTGGTGGCCCCGGGGGTGCAGCATGGGGCGGGAGGCGTGGTCAGGAGGGAGTGGGGTGGGTGGGTGGATGGGTGGGGGGCCGGGAAGAGCCAGGGAGAGGGGCAGGGAGGCGAACAAAAGGTCCCTTTGTGGAGCGGCCGGGAGAAGAGGAGCGCATTACCCAATGCCCAGAAGCCATGTTGGTAACAAGAGAACCATTCTCTGCCTCGCTTGGAAAACAACTTGGAGCAGAGAGAGACCGGGAGAGAGTTAACCCCATGGGCGCGGGGCACAGGGGCCCGCGGCCACCGTGGGAGGCGGGAGGGAGCGAGCGCCCACTGGGGACCTTTCGGGCCCGGAGCCCATGATTTCCTGTCTCCCAGGCCTGGTCTGCGGTCGGAGGATCCAGAGCCCTAACATGGCCGCTTGGCCGCGGCCCAGCAGCCTTTGGACAGGGGACTGGAGCCATGGCTTCTGCTGCCTGGGCCTGGCCAGACGTGTGACCTCCGCCTGCTCCCAGCTCCAGGGCCTGGCCCACCCCGAGGGCGCCCCCTTGCCCCCCGACTCCGAGTCCAGACTCTACGACTGCAGGTCCTAGGACTGGCCCTGGTTCCAGGGCCCCACGGCCTCCACAAGCCTCTCTTGGCTGACAGGCGGCAGAGTTGCTCCTCAGAAGTCCCTTCCATCTTTGCACAGTTTCGCTGTTAAAGTTTTTCCTGAAACTTCATTAATTCTCTTTCATCCCTGTGCAGCCTCTACCCACCAGCCCTGGTTCTCAGGCTCCTAGAGACCACGTCTGGTAGGAAGGGGAGGGATACCCGAAGAAGCAGCTGCTGTGTTTTGGGCCCCTCACACGCACTTCAGGGCCAGCCTGGCGGGAGTGAGCTGTGACCCTGTCTGCCGATGCCACTTGTTCTAAAAGCAGCTAACACAGGGCCACACGGAGGAGGCACCCCATGAATAAGCAGAAGAAAGAGGTCCTTCCTTCCTTGCATCCTTCCTTCCAGAAATACAGGCGGAGCCATGTGCCCAGCTCTGTCTTAGCTCTGGGACTCAGCAGTGGACCACACCACCCTGCCCCCAGGGAGCGGGCAATAAAAAAGCAAAGACACAAACTAATGGCAGGTGGCCACAAGCTTGATGGTGACGAATCTGGGCAAAGAGAGTGACAAGAGGGGTAACTTTAGAAATGGTGGTCGGCAGAGGCCCCCGCAAGGCTCTGCTCTTTCACAAAGATCTGGATGGAGAGAGGAGGAACATTTGGGCAGAGAATTTCCAGGCAGTGGGCACAGCATGTGCAACAGTCCTGAGGGGGACTGTCCTGGGGAGTCTGGGAAGAGCCAGGAGGTCAGAGTGGCTGCAGCAGACACATCAGGGGGTCAGGTCATGGGGAAGGGTGGAGGAGCCCAGGCGCGTGGGTGCCTGCAGGAGCTTGGAGCAAGGTTTGTGTGGTCAGAATTCCATTTCAACAAGGACTCTTTGGCTGCCTTGTGGGGAATAAACTGCAGGGGTCAAGGGTGAGAACTGGAGACCTAACAGGACTTTTGTCATACCCCCCAACCCCTGTGTGCTCCCCTCCGTAGTACTCCTCCTCCCCAGCTTGCCCCCACCCTCCCACTGTAGGTGCAAGCATTCTCCGAGTAAATGTTGGCCCAGCACCTTCTAGTTGCTAAGAATGGGGTGTTTAGTCTTTGGGCCAGGCAGGACCCTAAAGAGAGCAAGGTTGCCTGCGGGGGTGGGACGGTTCACAGTTGGAGGGGTCCCAGGCACCCAAAGGGGACCCACTGAAGGACAAGCCTTGCCTGTGGACCCCTGGTTAAAGGATGAAGCCTGGGCAGATTTTCAAGCTTCACAAAGGGCTCTCAGGACCCTCCTCCCCCAGCCCTACTGGGTTGTGACATCAGAAAACAGCCCAGAAACTCAGGGGCTCAGTGCCCTGCCTCCAACCTCAGGCAGGTCCCTGGCCTTCCAGAGCCTCAGTTTCCTCATCTGTAACACTGCATGGGCCTCGCAGTTCTGCTGAGTACAACTTAGCCCTCAGGGGGCAGAGACAGGCTCTGAGAGGTGAGTGATGGCCTTGGTCACCAGCTGGAAGGGGCAGTACCTGCTGACCCCTAACGCCAGCCCCTTCTCTGCGTGTTCCCGACACACCTGTGGGGCCTCAGCTCCGCCCCCTCTGAGGCCCGGAGCTGCGTGCTGGAGCAGGGCAGATGCTACGGAAAGCAGTGACAGTATCGAGGGGCTTCAGGTGGCAGAGGGGCCAGTGGGTAGGAGTGAAAGTGTTAGTCGCTCAGTTGTGTCCAATTCTTTGTGACCTCATGGACTGTAGCCCACCAGGCTCCTCTGTCCATGCGATTCTCCAGGCAAGAATACTGGAGTGGGTTGTCATTTCCTTCTCCAGGAAATCTTCCTGACCTAGGGATCGAACCCAGGTCTTCCGCATTGCAGGCAGATTCTTCACCGTCTGAACCATCAGTGGGTAGGACAGGGAGGCTGTGAGGCTCAGGAAGATGAAGCAGGACAGACTGGGGCGTTCCAACCAAACAGGAAGCACCCCAGCCCTGGTAGGCACCCTGGAAGGGTGAGAGAGAGGCCCCTTGTGATCCTGACTTCCCCCCACCCCCACCCCGACTGGCTGTAAGCAGCCTGGCCTCTCAAGCCTCTGCATCTTCATTTGTCAAACGGGCCACCTCCTCTCTGGTCCCAGAGGGTGGTGACGAGGACCAGATCAGTGGGAAGCTGGGCATGCAGGGAGCCGGCGGGGCTTTATACTGGGTTCCTGCCGGCTTCCAGGCTTGTGTACCCCTGACAGAATGATCTAACACAGTCGATTTGTGCAACAGGCAGGGCTGCAGATGAGAGAGGGAAAACAGGGGCAGGAGAGAGAGGGAATAGGGGAGGAAGGGGGGAGGGCCATGGCATGGAGCAGGGAGGGCTTCCTGGAGGAAGCAAGTTGTACGTATCATGGGGGATGGGAGGGTTTGCACAGGCCAGGAGGCGAGGGAGGGCTTGTAGCAGAAGGGCTAGCACAAGTAAAGGCACAGAGAAGGGAACCAGCAGGGAGAACAGAAAAGAGAAGGGCAGAGCCCTTGTTAGCAAGGTGGCGTGGGGAGGCTGGGGTTGGGATCCTGGGAAGCCCAGAGCCTCCTAAGCCAGAGCTCTGAGATTCATCTCCACCCTTTCCAGCCTTGGGCTTAAAGCGCCTGATTTCCATCTCCGGCCTCTTCTGGAATCTTACTCTTCCTGTGGGGCACGCTCCCCATGTCTTTGCTGGCTGTTGAGAGCTATATGGCAAAAAGACTCCCTCTGGGAAGTCCTCCCTGAGCCCCAAGCCAGGTTGAGACTCCCTCCCCTGGAAGTAGTTCTTGCTGTCCCAATGGGAAGGAACTATTATTACATCCATTTTACAGAGGAGAAAACTCGGGCTCAGAGAGATATCCTCATGGCTCAGGGGTGAACGACTGGTGTCAGAGCTAGGATCCTAACGCTGCGAGAGGCCTGGCACCTGTGAACTCTTATGTTACCTCCCCCACCCCACCCTGTGCTGGGCACCTTTTTCTCCTTGGATCCAGAGGAGGGCTGAAATTCAAGTGCTACCATGCCACCGGGAGGTGGCGGGGCGGATCCTGAAGCCGGGAGTGGCTGACCCCAGTGCTCCCACAACCGGTCTGAGAAGGTGCAGAGAGGCCCAGGACGTAGGGGTGAGTGAAAGGGGAGAAACCGGGCCTGAGGCCAGGGGCCACGGGCAGCCTTGGAAGGCAGGGAAGACAACCTATGGGGTCAGAGCCCAGGTGGCAGGGGGCCAATGGCCCGTGGCAAGGCAGCAGGAAGAGGGGGAGCTGGCCACAGGAGGAGGGGGAGAACTGGGAGATCTGGGGTCCCTGGTGCCTGGCCCTAGGCTGGTGCTGGGAGCAGGGGTCAGGCGGCGGTCGAGGGCACTCGCAGGCTGAGTGGAAAGAGCACTGGAGACGCTGCGGGTCACGCGGGAAGTCACCCAGCGCGGGCGCGGTGCCCGGGCCACGTCACTCCCTCGCCGGGGCGGAAGCCTCGAGGCCCTTCCACGCGGCACTGTCGTCAGCCAGCGGAGTCACATGGGGGGCGGGCCAAGGGCCATGGCGCCTTCCGGTGGCCTCTCCGCCCCCGCCCCGCCCCTGGGGATCCTGCCACCGCTCTTGGAAAACAACTGAGGAAATCAAGTGGAAACACAAATCCGCCACCCCAGTCCCTCCCGCTCCCTTGGGCCTGGCCCCTGCCCCCCAGCACACCCTGGAATGGGGCTCAACACAAGAGGCCAGCCAGCCCAGCAAGGTTTGCCCTGGCAAGACCCAGTGGGCACGATCCTTGGCCCCGGGGCTCCCAGCATTCGGTCCTGTCTGCCCATCTAGTCCCGCAGAGGCTAGCCCTCCCCAGGAGGACCTGGGGCACCGAACTTGAGCCCCCCTCCCTCCCTCTCTCCCTCTCTCCCTCTCTTCCTCTCTCCCAACTACCTCTAGACTCTGGGATCCAGGGCCAAGAAATTCCCAGGCCTGACTCTGCCCTGGAGAAGCTGGTCACCTGGGCAAGTCCTTACCCGCTGTGGGCCTCAGTGGCCTCATCTGTCAAATGGGAGCAACAAGGCCTGCCCAGACCCACCTCACGGGCTGGAGAGAGAGACCCGGGCCTAGAGAAGGACAGTACTGTGTGAGCTATAAGGGGCCAGGCCCATGGATGGTCACTTTGATATTTTACAGAGAGGACTTGCCTCCCCGGCTTGGGAGTCAGCTCCATGCAGGGGGACATGAATTACAGGTGATGATAAGGGGTCCCTGCAGTTGCTTACCCCTGAACAGAGAAGAGCCCGGCACTGGCCCACCCGGTCCCTCTCAGCACCAGCCAATCCCAACGCCTCCATCCCCTCCACGGACAGGGTGCTCGCCCCATCGGACACGGTCTTTCCTCAGCAGAAGTCTT